TTGGGCAATCCTACTTCCGTAGTGATACTGCCTTGGAAACCCAAGGAGGGGTCGCTATGAGTCAGGGCTGACTCGATGGCACATAACAACAACAAGAGGTCTCAGAAGTGTAGAATCACTCTCCCTTCCATCTGTCATTTACTAAGTCTTGTGGCTTCTAGCTCTTTCAAGTCCTCAGAATCTGTCCTCTTTACTAATCTATTGTTAGAACTGTTAGGTGTCAAATACCCAGAGAGGAACAGGACCAGGGTGAATTGTTAGAAAAATAAGTTTTATTGAATCATCCCTTCGGGTGATGGGCTGAGGCTTAGAGTAGCATCAGCCCCATCCTGTCTCCACAGGGTGCTTAAATAGTGTTTGAATGCAGGAGGTCGACTACATATTTCAAAAGAAACAATCCTAAGTGTTGAAGAGGAACTAAACACAAGGGAGGGTGGGGACAAGATAAGCCCGGGACTCGACAAAGGATCCAAGTGGAAACTGAGAGTGGGGGTCGGGGTCGACTTCACAGTGGAAAAAGCAGACAAAGAACTCCACTGGAACTTGGGGGTTTTGAGAGTGCAGGAAAGCAGACAAAGAGGAAACTGGAAACTGGGGATTTGGGGGTGGGGGCATCTGAAGGACGGGAAAGGACACAAAGCATCTAAGTGGAAATTAGGGGGTGGAGACTAGGAGAGTACTGAGAGAGAGAGACAGAAACTTAGTAGATACTGGCAGGCTGGGTAGAGGGTGAAGGATTTACCTATTAAGAACGGAGCTGAACTCTTCTTTGCTAATCCAGTTTATCTCTAGCTTTCCAATTCATCTGTGTACTTCTTTTCCTCATCCCAGTATACTATTTATTCAGTTGCATTTTAGAATTCTGTACGAACTTTCTCAGAGGCTACTGGCTACCTAAGTACAAATGCCACAACTTGACCACTGACATCTATGTCTGACAGTCAATGTAGTCCTGCAAACCTTCTATCAGTAAAACAGCTACTCCAATTTGTTCCAAACTCTCCCCCTCTCCTTATCTTTAATCAAAAGGTAGCCTCCCACAACCTTAAATATCCTCCGCACACTGCACGAACAACAACAACAAAAATCCTCCCCAGCTCCTCCTCAACCTGTCAAAATTTTCCCCATTCTCTAGGAACTATCCGAAATGCAGTCTCTTCCTCCAGCCAGGGTCCCTCTGTGAAATCTCCACCTTACTATGTACCTCTCTCACATCACATGTCAGCCACTCTCTCTATCTTGTCTTTGTGACTTTGGTGTGTAATACTCCTGGCTCAATTATAAAAACACAGTGTGCAAAGGGACTACAAAAGAGTCTTTGGCACAGAGCTAGGGCTCAATAACAGCTCTTGTGTTTCCCATAAGTGATCCGTCCTTGTTTTGATTAAATATCTTAAATGGTAATGACATCTTCATTTTTTAAAGACAGTTGTCTTTAAACTTCTTTTAAATTTTTAATGTTTTTGGTGAAAATATACATAATAAAACCTGTATCTATTCAACAATTTCTCCATCACCAGTTCAATGACCTTGGTTACAATCTGCATACTGTGCTATCATTCTCTCCATCTCTGCCTATTTTGGTTTACCACCATTACCTTAGACTCACTGCCCCCTAAACATTTCCTCTATGTTTTAGAATTACTATTGTCAATTTGATCTCATGAAAAGGGTTCACTGTTCAAGACAAACATTTTTTACTAATTAGGCTAAACTGCCGTTTAGCTTAAAGATGACTTCAGTAGATAGTTTTCATTCAAAGTTTAACAATTATCTTAGAGCAATAGACATCAGGGCTCCCCCAGTCTCACTGGGTCCAGTAAGTTTGATTTTTTAAAGAATTTGAAACTCTGGTTCACATTCTTCCTCTTTTTGGTCAGAATCTATCCTTGATCAAAACATGCAGTAATGGTAGTTGGGTACCAACTAGCTATTCTGGTAGAAAAATATTTTGTTAAGTTTGAAGAAATCTTTCTTGCTCCCTGAAAATATGAAGAAACCAAGATTATACATCCTAATCCCACAGATAAATTTTCTTGTGGTAAAATGTGCCATTTAACAGTACAATTCTGTGACATTAATTATATTCATCATGTCGTACAACCATCACCCACTACTTCCAAAATTTTTCATCACCCAAGACAGAAACTCTCTATTCATTAAGTAATAATTCCCCATTCTTACCACACTCCGGTCCAGGGTAACCTCTAATCTACTTTCTGTCTCTATGAATCTGCCCATTCTAGATATTTCATATAAGTGGAGTCATATGATATATGACTTATGGTTTCTGCCTTATTTCATTTACATAATTTTCAACATTCATCCATGTGTCAGAACTTCATTTCTCTTTACAGCTAAATAATATTCCACTATATACACATATCATATTTCATTTATCCATTCATCTCTTGATAAACATTTAAACTGCTCTTACTTCTTGGCTATTGTGAATAATGCTGCAGTGAACACTGGTGTACAAGTATCTGTGCCTGTGCTTTCAGTTCTTCGGGAAACCTAGTAGTGAAATTGCTTTGTCATATGGTAACTGTATATAAAGTTTTTTTGGAATTGCAAATGTGTTTTCTATGGCAGCTATACCACTTTACATACCCATCAGTAATGCATATGAGTTCCAATTTATCCACATAACTACTCAATACTTGATATTTTCCATTTTTCTGATAATAGCCATGTTAGTGGGTTACAAGTAGTATCTCACTGTGATTTTGATTTGCATAGTGCCTAAGGCATTTGACTGCTAACCAGAAGGCTGGCGGTTCAAACTTACTGGACCCAGTGAGACTGGGGGAGCCCCCAAGTCTATCGCCCTGAGATAATTGTTAAACTCTGAAGAAAACTATCCACTGAAGCCATCTTTAGGCTAAACAACAGTTTAGCTTAATTAGTGAAAAATGTTTGTCTTGAACATTGAACCTTCTACTCCTTGTAAGGTTCTACTTCTGTAGTGATACCGCCTCGAAAACCCAAGGAGGGGTTGCTATGAGTGAGATTCAACTCAACAGCATTGAGTTTGGTTTTTTTTTAGTGATTAATTATACTGAGCAACTTTTCATGTGTTTATTGGCTATTTGTATATCTTCATTGGAGAAATATCTATTCAAGTCCTTTGCCCCTATTT